AGCGAGTATAAGGATTACTCGCTAGTGACAATAAACACAGACACTAAAAGAATATATGTCTATATTTGGCCGAGCGAGTGTAGTACATAGAAGTTGTCATCTGGCGAGCAGTGGTGTGATAGCGAATTGAGTGCCCTGAGAGTCGGTACAGTATCTCTCAAGTGTCTGTTCTAAACCACACTTGAAAGTAGACTGGTAAGTACTCGTTGTTGTTGTTGTTATAGATTCAGCTACTGTTTAGTTTAGTTCATTTATTATGCACCCCATACCCATCTTGTGTGCGGTAGTGGAAAGGGTTACAGAGGCACATAATGGGCTCAGGGACTGAACCCCACAATTCATTTAGCTAAGCAAGTTACAATCTTGATGAGCTAGTTACAAAATTCCGTATAAGTCGTCACATCATCAATGAGTTCGAGATCGACCACAAGTACAGTTTCTAAGTTAAGCAACTGACATATGTGGAGAGCTAGTGTCACAATTGATATGTTTGTCCTGCACACCGCCCACCATCCAGCGGGCAGCGGTGGATAGGTTACAATCACTTAGTTACTACTTAAAGTTAGCAAACTGGGGATATTTAGCTAAAATTTCTGGTAGCAGATCATTTTGAATGAAATATTTACACATCGTTGGAACATGTGAACACATCGAAAGGACATCAAATCTTTATGTACCTAATCCAAACAACTTTACCATTGTGATCATTCCTGTCTTCTTATATGCGTTATCAATTTGCTCTATGGTGCCTATTAATCTTGTCTAAATTACCAATCAAGCTGTCAATGCAATCAGAGGTACCAATGTGCCTTAATATACCTACTAATCTCTCCCATCTCATTTTTCTTTTTTCTTGCAATGTATCTGTTAACATTTTATTAATTCTGCTTGAGTTTACCTACTTAAAATTATCTGTTAGATTAAAGACCTGCCCGAAACGCTGCGCGTACTAGTGGCTTTACAAGATTGTAAATACCATGCTATGTATCCTCACAAACCCAATGTACCTTCTTGTATATAAATAAAATAAAATAGTGACGGATTTTTATTATTATTATTATTATTTTCTACCACAGACGTGGCCACACATTTACAATGCTAACTAGCATATATACATTTTCTTCTGTCCTCCATGGACAGGGTTAGAGATGTGTTAAACATATAGTTCAGGGATATATTGAACAATCAACCACAGAAGGTGATTCGGTGCTTTTAAAATGCTAAGCTAACCTACATGCGTAAATACATAGATACACAGATTTACGTATGCCCTACATAAAGTGTTCGATGTGTCTTTTACATAGTGTCATTAATGTGCATTTACAAAGGTGAAAAGTAATTCTGATCAGCTTCCATATATACTTAATACACATATACATACACACACATATATACGTACATATACATATATACACACGCATGCATTCACATACATTTGTCTCTTTTACTCTGACAGGGTTAGATAGCTGATAGTGAAACTAGTGTGCAATTAAGCACTTAATCACTGAATTTATATTATTATTAACGGAGGATGTGCGAATAATTTTGTTGACAGTTTACATTTGGTCAAGTCTACATCGGGAGATAATGAGAATTCCCAGAGATACTTGTAACCGAGTCTAAGCTGAGCAGTATTAACATTTAGAAGTCTGCTGATTTTTATTGGATGAACCGTAGATGTGTGGCTCCTTGGAACAAAAAGTTCTAAGTAGCATGGGCTATGGTGAGCCCGTAGTGGACTTACCTGGCACAGGATTACGGAGGCACATAATCGGTTCAGGAACTGAACCCTCTAGTTCGTTTAGCTAAGCAAATAACAATTTTTTGACGCTAGTTACAAAGTTATTAATGTTATATATACATGTACACATTCTCATACATACAAGTACATATATATATATACGTATACATATATACATACACATAGGAGCGGGGCTGTTACTTGGTAAGTACTGTTGTTGTTGTTGTTGATAAAATGAGTTTGGAGCGAGTATATTATAGGTAAATTATTATCCGTAGGCGAATCGTCGTATGTACGATATGACTTGTATTCACCGCTAATACGCACCAAAGCTAAAAATACAACATATATACATATTTTGACTGAGATAATTCAAAATTTATTTCAGTTGAATATGCTCCTGTTGATAATCAAATTTATAACCTATTGTAATTGTCTTGAAGAGTGTTTGGTGTAGTGTGACCCCAGGAGTGGTGACTGACCACCCGCTGGAGCAGAAGGCGTTGTCTGCGGGCCGGGGTAAGCTGTGTCTCGGGCTCTGCTTCCTCTTATATGCTTGTAGCTCTGTACCATGGCAATGATTATGGTATAAAACTGCAGATTCCTGTTGGAAATGGTACTGGGAGCAAATATATATTTGGAAAGTTTGTTTGATAAATATAACTAGATAGCATTAATTTTAGTTAACGTGAAATCCGACTTTCTCTGACTTTTTCTCCGTTATTGTTATTTGTTCCTTTTTACAGTTCATTTATTATGCACCTCATACCCTGCCTGTGGGCGTAACGATATAATAGTGACTTCTAGCCCCCATCATGGGCCTGTAGGCCGGTACAAATGGTTGCCGGCTCCTGTGTACCAGTTATTATAGATTCAGCTACTCGGAACAAGTTTCAAGTAGCACGGGCTATGGTGAGCCCGTAGTGGACTTACTGGCACAGGAGCGATGCTGATGGTGTACCAGTTACCTTGGGGTCTGTATCTGACTCGAGGCTGTGCAGCCCAGGCTGACCTCTTCACGTATGTCCCTAGTCCTAGGGCATTTGGCTACTATGAAACCAAACTATAGCCTGCCAAATGCAACCTTTCCAAACATTCAGAATTTCTCAAATGTCGGAGCCTTGATTAGGGTGTAAGGAGAGGTCCCCGGGTACGTTGAGATTTTGGTGCATAGGGCTTGATCGCCATCTAAATTGCGCAAGTGTCCCCTGGGCCTGCAGTACAGTGGTCTATGTTCTCGGCACGCAATCGGGATCCTGGGTTCGATCCCTGGGTAAGAGAAAAACAGTTGGGCACATTTCATTTTACCTAATGCCTCTGTTCACCTAGCAGCAAATAGGTTAGTGGGACCTTGATGCAAGCCTAAGTACAGGCTTCCTGTCTTTCACAATAGGAATTAATTATCAGGGTGAAATAACGGCAGAATTCACACACACCCATTGATTGACGGTTGAGAGGTGGGACCAAGGAGCCAAAGCTAAATCCCTGCAAGCAGAACTAAATGAGTACAGCTTCAGATATAGATATATCTGAACTACAGTCCTGTGGCGCAGTGGTAAAACACTTGCTTGGCACTTCATGAGCGCTTTGGCCTGGGTTTGTATCCTGGCCGGGGAGAATTGATCGGGCGCCAGTCCTTAACTGTAGCCACTGTTCACCCAACAGTGAATAGGTGCCTGGTTGTTAAACGATTTGGCGGGTCGTATTCTGGGGGAAAAAATTAGGATTCAGGACCTGCCTGAAATGCTATGCATACTATGGGCTTTACAAGAATGTAAGAACTCTTGTATATATAAATACAAAAAAAAAAAAATGAAAGCCCAATTGGCTTGGGAACCTGTTCACTGGTTAAAAACTGAGAGGTGGGTTCAGAGAGCCAAAGGTCATCTACAGTAAGCACATTTACATGAGTAATCCTGCCCCAGTCATTCATATCCCACATACCTTTCCCTCCCCCCCCCCCCCTCCTCTTTTCATACAAATTTCCTTTCCCATCTACACCTACCCCTACTCATACTTACTCCTACCCTGATGCTGGGTGCCTGACAGCTGAGTAGACAGCACTTCGGATTCGTAGTCCTGGGGTTCTGGGTTCGATCCCTGGTGAAGGCGGAGACAAATGGGCAAAAAGTTTCTTTCACCCTGATTTCCCCTGTTCACTTAGCAGTAAATAGGTACCTGGGAGTTAGACAGCTCCTACTGGCTGCTTCCTGGGTGGTGTGTAACAAAAAGGAGGCCAAGTCGAGGACCGGACCGTTGGGACACTAAGCCCCGAAATCATCTCGAGATAACCTTCCCACTCCTTTCCCCTATCTCCCACACTTGTGATTGATGCTCGGCTAATCTTGCTTTTGCAAGTTGAACTTCAGCTTTATCTCACCTTTTGGTCTAGGTTTCGAGTAGGATATTTTTAATGTGCTGTAACATTCTTTACTGTATAGGAGGTTTCCAATTTTTCTAAATCATACCCATCAAACTGAATATGGTGCAAATGCTCACTCCAGGTGAACCTTGGATGAGCTGGGTGCTGGCACTGGTTGTGAGTGAGCAACCAACCCAGCCATCACCTGTGATCTCTCGGCCTGTTCTCGTGATTTACCGTTCTGAGAAAAATGCAGCTGTTTTGCATAATGAGAAATATGCAAACGCACAACCCACCTAACCTATTGAAGCTGATACATATAAAATAATATTTCGGTCTTAACTTTTACAAATACTGTACATCTGATTTTTAACAGTCGATAAAATTTGCATATATTAGGAAAGAGGACAAATCCGATCACAAGCAAGGGCCTGGAGGGGCTTTTAATTAATTTTGTTGGGGGAAAGACTTGCCAGTTTTGCTGGACCACATTAATTTTCTTAAATGACTCCATTAGCACAATGCAGCCCTGCAGAGATGCTTGAAAATTCTGTGGCATCATGCTGTAAGTCATCCTGCCTGACTGCATAATCCATGTCTATGTAAACAAGTGGGATCTTACAAAGGGTGTGTATTTTTGGGGCTACTAACCAGGTACTTTGATTTGTAAGATAAATGATCATCTGTAAGATAAACGATCATCTGTAAGATAAACGGTTATCTGTAAGATAAACGGTTATCTGTAAGGTAAATGGTTATCTGTAAGGTAAAGGGTTGTCTTACCCAAGTACAAATTACTGTATTAGTAGTACATATTAATACAGTGTTATGATAATACCATAACACTAGTACATACTAGTTTTATGGTATTATTTGTATATGTTCTCATTTTTTCAGAGGATTTTTGTTGAGCTGTGGGAACCATGCTTCGTGTGACACCAAGGTTGGCTTACCTGACATCGTTAACTGTACGCCATTGCAATTTCTCGGCTACCAGGTTGGTTTTCACCATGATTTAATAAGATTTTATACATAAAAATTACACAGAGGTGCCATTTACAGTGAATTTATAGTAATTATATTTTTATAAAGTCACTAATCATGCACAGTATTTCTGGAGTACTGTATATTAATTTGAGTGTTTATTTTTGTTATTATACTGTGCTAGTTTGGAAGAAAAAGGTAGGAAGAGAATAAGCAAGATAGCTTCACAAAGGAGTAGTCATGCCTACTCTTTATGTATGGCTCTGATATTATGGTGTCTTAAGTGTATGAGGGAGTGAATTATCAGGAGAAATTGCCAAGCCCTTACGACTATATAGCCCTTGGTAGGGATAAGGATTTGGGATGGGATGAGGGAAATGAATGGTGCTCAATTACTTGGATGGTTGGTGGTTGAATGCCGACCTGTATGAAGCGACACCATCACCCTACCGTCCAGCCCAAGTGGTTGGGCATGAACTGAATAAAAGTTTAAACTGTAAAATTGGACAATATGAGCAGTGTTAGGAAGATAACGTAAGACTTTAAAATGATATGGAAAGATGATGCATGCAAAAGTCAGTTAATTTTAAGATTTATGAGAGTTTGAGTTGGTTAAGGATGTAATCTAGTGAATTTGAATGCAGAAAAGGAAAGCCATTAAATTGGACAGTGAATGGGAACAGTACACAAAGTGATAGGACATATGGATAAGTGGAATCAGTATAAAGAATAAATGTTTGAAAATTTTGTTAAATGACCTCTCGCAGGAAGCACGTGGTGGTATGAAGCAGTTTGGATGAGCAGGGTCTTGATGTTGAATGTATTGCTTGAGATTGATGGTGTTGACTCTATGTAATACTCAACGATATTGTGTAGAAAGTGTGGCAAAATGGATATTACTGTGGGCTTTTTTTTTTTTTTGGAGGTGGGGGGTGGATATCTTCATTATTACAGTACAGAATTTTGTATTTACTCTATCTCTTTTTGGATGATGGTTCTCCTCCATGAAAGTGAGATAGGGGTACATAGTGATGATGATAAACCTTGGAAGATTTTGTCACCGAATTTATGAGTGTTGTTCAGTATAACTGTAACTCCTATAAACATAGGGTTGTCTTAAATAGAAATGAATCTGACTGGAGAAATGTGTAGAGTTGGGAACTGTAAGGTTCCATGTTAGGGCCAACCCTTTTTGTCATATACATCCATGACAGATGAGAATACTGTATTACAAACCACTTCATAACATTTGCAGATGACACTAAGATTTATGGTAAAGTAGGAAGTGAAAATAATATTGAGGCCTTACAAAGAAATCTACTTGAACTCCACAAAAGCTTGGAAGACTGGCAAATGCTTTTTAATGTAGTAAAATGAAAGGCGTTGCATGTGGGGCATAACAGTGCGCATATACAGTAACTACCAAATCAATAACATACAGCAGATTGCTACAGAAACAAATAATTACTTTGTTACTATAACAAGATCATAGACCCCTTACAGAATATCTATTGAACTAAACTTCAGGTTATATTTGCAATTTCTTCTTCAATGTTACCTTAGGTATGTGAATAGGATGATGTCTCCCAAGTTTATGTGGAGAATTTACAGGACAGTAGAACAAAGGTTAGTGATGAGTAGCCACTCTGAAAATTTTGTGGAGGAGCAAGTCTCTAGAAATATACTGTACACTTCTTTATAGATAGGAAAATAGAATAAAGGAAATATGTTTTACAGTACTGTACATATATATTTTTGTTTGTTATTTTAGGAATAAATCCTCGCATAAATTATCTGGGTATCTCTCTATACAGTACAGTAATTTTCATCCCAGGTGTGCAGGTGTTCAGCGATGGCAGTCGACAGCAGCAGCAGCAGCAGCCGCCACCACACCTCGTAATGAGCCCCTGAGCAACCGAACCCCTCCTCAGGAGTTGCGCGCTGCTCAGAGTATATACAATTTTAATGTCCAGGCCATGACAGAATTACTTGATCATGATAACCATGCAATGAGGGCCAAGTTTCGGTAAGTTTTTTTTTTTTAATTTGTTTGATAAGTTAGAAGTTTGTTGTAGATAAATTATAATTTGGCAGTTAATTTCGTCGGGGACTTCCCTAACCTGCTAATTTAGTGTTTTATTTACTTCTTTAGTTCACATTCCTTCTATACAGCTCTTCACTAAATTCAGCTAATGTTACTGGCTATTTTCAAATGTCAAACTGAGGAGCAATTCAGCAGATTTCAAGGTTGCATCTTTAATTGCCAGAGTGGATTTTGTAACATGGCCACCCTTGGAACAGGGTGGCCATGTTATGAACATTTTGTTCAGACTAAAGTACCCAATGAACATTTGTGGAGAGAACATGTCAATTGCTGTTATGTCACCCCTGCACATGGGGGGGGGGGGACGGGGGATGTAGGAGGACTGCACATAGGGAAACACAAATTCTAGAAGGAAAAACACAAATCTATTGGATAAACCATTGGAAAAAATTACAAAACAAAAACAGGAAAGAAGTCGTGAGGCTCACATACCCCTAAAAAACAAAATAAGCACATCATGGAGGCCAAAAACCTTATCCACAAACATTCCTAACATAAAGGTTTGGCAAAGGAAGGGGAAGATAAAAACCTAATACTCCTACCAACAAATCATTGTAATCCGAAACCTTCCTCGCATTCTCCAACACCAGATTAACCCAGTATGTTAATAATGTATCTTATTCATAACTATTTTCTACTTTAATGTTTTCACTGTTGCTGGATTGATCAGGTGTTCATTCATTTATTATGTTTACCCTATTTTTGAAATTTTTATAGTGTGTGGGGAGACAATCCTGAAAAAATAATTAAGAATATAGTTGTAGATTTTGAATATTAAAATCAAAATATCACTAGTTTAATTATTACAGTACATTTTATCTGAAAATCCATTAGAGGAAGTTCAGAATAATTACTGAACAGTCTAGCTATTTTCACAGTTGCAGAACAATACTGTATTTATTAGGTTTTGTTAGTTCAAGCAATACAACACTTTTTTTAAATACCAAAATCACACGCACAAAAAAACTTATTCTGCTCCCTTTTTCTTCATTGATAAATTACAATTTTACTTTGAAAAAGAATGTTCTTTTCATATTTACAATTTATCATTGAGATAAAAGGGTGACCAAGTCTTGAACAAGAAGAATAAATACAATTATATTGTACACACTATGTAACAGACAAAATGTCGTACCTCAGTTATGCAAAAGTCAGAAGAACAGGTGTAGCTGAGGGGTTTGAAGGAAGCATATTTGCCAGTGTTTAGTGCTACTGCATGGGTGACATTTGATTTTGTCTCCAGTAACTCTGAGCATTTACCTGGTTCATTTGTCCTTGAAGAGTTGTGCTAATCCATGCTTAACCAGTGTGCCATCAAAATTCATTTACACTTCAAAAATGTATTATAAAAGTTCTTACCTGCTTGATGGGGTTCTGGGAGTTGTTCTACTCCCCAAGCCCGGCCTGAGACCAGGCTTGACTTGGAGCGGTCCACTAGGCTGTTGCTTGGAGTGGCCCACAGGCCCACATACCCACCACAGCCCAGTTGATTCGGCACGTTTTTAGAAAACGGTCTAGTTTTCTCTTGAAGATGTCCACGGTTGTTCCCGCAATCATGTCTTGCACTGAATTTGTGTTCTTCAAAACCATGCATATCGAGGACAGCCTGCATTGGTGTATTTGTTAGATTTACTGCTATTGAATCCACGCAGAAATCCATAAGAGGAGTTCGTTGAGTCATGCGTATATCATTTACCTTAGTCCAGAATACATGTACAACATCACAAAAAAAGTACTGCTACACTTAAACAATCGTTCACAGTATCACCCCATTGCTTCATCTGATCAGGTACATGTAATGCTTATGAACAATCTCGCACTCACCATGTACAGATACTCTTCTCAGCTTCCTCTTTGCCTACCCTCAAATTTATTTTAACTATACACTTCACCAGTCTATCATCTGTTCATTTAACATGTCCATACCATCTCTGTATTCTCATCGTAATCTTGCAGTTTTTTCAATTTTTGCTGATTTTTGTTATTCAGAGGAACCTCGGTTAATGAATTTAATCCGTTCCGGCACCAAGCTTGTCATGTGAAATGCTCATCTTGCAAAACAAATTTCCCCATTTAAAATAATGGAAATATAATTAATCCGTTCCACCCCCACAAACTCTCAAACTAAAAAACTCTGGTAGGTAGTTGTCATGGGAGGCAGATGGTGTCAGTGGTGGAAGTGGTCAGGGAAGGCAGGGGTGATAGTGGGGTCAGAGGAGACAGGTGATGGAAGTGGTCAGGGAAGGCGGGGGAGTGATAGTGGGGTCAGGGGAGACAGGTGGTTGAAGTGGTCAGGGAAGGCAGGGGAGTGATAGTGGGGTCAGGGGAGACAGGTGGTGGAAGTGATCAGAGAAGGCAGGGGAGTGATAGTGGGGTCAGGGGAAACAGGTGTCGTCGGTGGTGGTGAGCTCTGGCCTGAGTTATCAGTTAACTGTGCAACACGTGGCTGGTGCCGGCTGCCGCCTCGATGCTTCACTCACTGTCTGCTTTTCAACAAAGTAGCTGAGAAAATGTTACCATTTCAGTTGTTTGTAACACATCACTCTATCATATTCCATAGTCAAAATGAAGAATTCATAATAAATGGGGGTGTCAGTGGTGAGGGGGATGTATAGGGGGGGGGGGAGGTAAGGAAGACTGCTAGCCTCTACCCCAGTCAACATTTTTAGGGAGTGTCGGGCGTGTTGAGTCGAGATGCGCCCACCAAGTCTGTTCTGAGTGATCACCTGACTGCTGATCACCTCTGCTAGTGTGTGTGTGTGTGTGTGTGTGTGTGTGTGTGTGTGTGTGTGTGTGTGTGTGTGTATGCGCCCACACATCTTAGCCTCACCTCTGGTAACCTCTTCCCCACTGACACCACCAGACTTCTGTCACCATCCCCCTACCACCAGACTTCTGTCACCATCCCCCTACCACCAGACTTCTGACACCATCCCCCTACCACCAGACTTCTGACACCATCCCCCTACCACCAGACTTCTGACACCATCCCCCTACCACCAGACTTCTGACACCATCCCCCTACCACCAGACTTCTGACACCATCCCCCTACCACCAGACTTCTGACACCATCCCCCTACCACCAGACTTCTGACACCATCCCCCTACCACCAGACTTCTGACACCATCCCCCTACCACCAGACTTCTGACACCATCCCCCTACCACCAGACTTCTGACACCATCCCCCCTCCACCAGACTTCTGACACCGACCCCCCTCCACCAGTCTGATCCTGCCCGACCCCCCTCCACCAGTCTGATCCTGCCCGACCCCCCTCCACCAGTCTGATCCTGCCCGACCCCCCTCCACCAGTCTGATCCTGCCCGACCCCCCTCCACCAGTCTGACACTACCCCTCCACCAGTCGACCTACTGTCGACTGTTGTTCTTACTAGTCAAATATAAGAAATGGGGTCAAATATATGGAATAGAGTAATTTAAGGTATGTAGAAACTGTTAAAAAATAATGCTGAAGATATATTCAGATATCCAGTACTTCATGCAGTTATGAAAATACCATACTTTGTATATGTGTTTCAGGGAGTTCATGAATGATCCAGTAATGGTTCCCCGCTACAACATTCCCTTGGATGTGGAGCGTGATGTAGCTCTTGAGCGGCTTCAACGCATCTGTGACGCAGGATTTATCTCTGTTCTTGACTTCCGTAACAACCCTCTCCGTATTTTTGCTGCTCATGAGCTAGCTGCCATTGTAGATCCTGCAATGGCCACCAAGATGACTGTGCAGGTATGTTTACTGTGTTGGTATGTTTAACCCCAGCACTGCTCCACCCGACATAATTCCAGGTGTGGTGGTGCACCAGCCGACATATTACCGGGTGTGGTGGTGCATCAGTCGACATATTACTGGGTGTGGTGGTGCACCAGCCGACATATTACTGGGTGTGGTGGTGCACCAGCCGACATATTACTGGGTGTGGTGGTGCACCAGCCGACATATTACTGGGTGTGGTGGTGCATCAGCCAACATATTACTGGGTGTGGTGGTGCACCAGCTGATTTATTACTGGGTGTGGTGGTGCATCAGCCGACATATCTACTGGGTGTGGTGGTGCACCAGCTGATACATTACCGGGTGTGGTGGTTCACCAGTCAACATGGGATCATGTTAGTATATCATAAGATTCGAAACTCTCATGCATACAAGGGGCCCACATTTGCTTCCTCAGGTCTGCAGTAACCATCCTCCATCTTGAAAAAAAAAAAAACTTGATTTTAAAACCAGCAAAATTCGGTGTTAAGTTTCACTTATGATATGGAGAGTGATGGGAAGCTGCCCTTTCTAGATGTAACAGTCGCAGAAAGGAATGGAGGTTTTCATACTGCAGTTTACACTAAGGAACCAAACACAAAAATGTGCCTTAATGCTAATAGTGACTGCCTAGATAGGTACAAGCAGTGTGTTGTCAATGCCTGCATCGACCGAACTCTTACTCACATCTCTGGTTGGAAACAGGTCAATGAGGAACTCGTCAACTATTAACAATTTTATAATAAAAATTATTTAACAATTTACTACAAAAAATGGAATGGAATGGACGGTGTTCTGTCTATTGGCCGATAGACAGAAGGATACGACCACCATGTATGGACTTCCTCATGATAATGATCTTGCAATGGATTGCAAGCTTCCTCGTGGCACAAACACTATGTCTGTCGTGGTCTTCTAACGATCTGCTTGGTCTAGAGGTAGAGTACTGGTTATGTCAAGGTGCGCGAACACCTGGCTTTCTAAGGTTCGAGTCCATTCACAGGAGAGTGAGGAGCTCTGTGTTTATTTATATTTATATATATATATATATATATATATATATATATATATATATATATATATATATATATATATATATATATATATATATATATATATATATATATATATACATACATATATACATATATACATACATATATACATACATATATACATACATATATATATATACATATATACATACATATATACATATATATATACATACATATATACATATATACATATATACACACACACACACACACACACACACACACAGTATAATATTATTTATTAGTATGAATAAATACATGGTGTGCATATGTTTATACATATATATATGTATGTATGTATATTTTCAAAGTTATACTTAATGGACTCCTTCTTTGACACATAAACTTGTTAGAGTGAAAAACTAAATAAATACAGTGACAAACATTGAAAATAAATCTACAAAATTATTCCCATGCAGCAACTCTCCCCATTTTTACCAAGCATCTCGACTATCCCAGGCCACTACAGCTGAACTACAAGAGATAGAGACTTTTTACTTGGAGTTACATGCTTCCTAGGTGCTAAATAACAATACCAAAAGAGAAACTAATGTTTTTGGAACAGTTTACTTTTGGGGCACCACGGGCATGTCATTTTAAAAGGTGCGCAGTGCAGGGGTTAATGTTTGCGTCTGGAGCAAGTCGATGCTTACAAGATTGCTTTTGGGTTTCTAAGATTGATGTGTGTTAGATATAAGAACACTTCTTTCATTTTTTTTGCTTTCTTACCTCCCTCTGATGAAAACAGCGGAATATGAGAGAATTTTACATTTTAATGATCCTTATGGTAGAAGAAATGAGGAAGAGTGTAATGTTGAAGGCAGAAGCTTAACAAAAGAATATGAGAAGTACATTAAAAAAAAAGGCAAGAGATGATTGATAAATATTGTAAATAAAAAGTTGTAAAAAAAATACTGTAACAAAAGTGAAAATTAATATCAAAAGAGAATAACAACTTTGTGAAAAAGTTTGAAAAATGAGAATAGGGCAAAAGAAAACAAAAGATTAGGATGTTCAATTGAACTGTAGAACTTTGGGATCAAAGAAAAAGAATCATTCTCAATAGTAATGAAAGAATATTTATTTTAAATAGATGTCTGTATGTACAATCAAAATAAGCTATTTTTATTTGTCAGTGTGTTTATAGGCTTATTAATTTCAGTTCAATCTGTTTGGAGGCACAGTTTTGAAGCTGGGCACTGAACGGCACCACAAGAAACTTCTAGCTGGGATTGATAACTTACAAGATATTGGATGCTTTGGATTGACAGAACTGGGTTATGGCAACAATGCTGTGGAGATGGAAACAACAGCTGTATATGACAAGGAGACAGGTGAGGAAGAGACAACTGGGACACAGGTGAGGCAGAGACTGTTGTATAACCGGGACACGGGTGAGGCAGAGACTGTTGTATAACCGGGACACGGGTGAGGCAGAGACTGTTGTATAACCGGGACACGGGTGAGGCAGAGACTGTTGTATAACCGGGACACGGGTGAGGCAGAGACTGTTGTATAACCGGGACACGGGTGAGGCAGAGACTGTTGTATAACCGGGACACGGGTGAGGCAGAGACTGTTGTATAACCGGGACACAGGTGAGGCAGAGACTGTTGTATAACCGGGACACGGGTGAGGCAGAGACTGTTGTATAACCGGGACACGGGTGAGGCAGAGACTGTTGCATAACCGGGACACGGGTGAAGCAGAGACTGTTGTATAACCGGGACACGGGTGAGGCAGAGACTGTTGTATAACCGGGACACAGGTGAGGCAGAGACTGTTGTATAACCGGGACACGGGTGAGGCAGAGACTGTTGTATAACCGGGACACGGGTGAGGCAGAGACTGTTGTATAACCAGAAGACGTGTGTGGCACTACAATTTGAACTTGATGACAAAACTTTGTGAAGTTCAACAACACTTTTTATTGTTGCAATATGAATTCAAATTTTATAATATTTTCATTCATTTTCTCTTTACGACAATGCATTTTTTTTTTTTTTTTTTTTTTTTTTTTTTTTTTTTTTTTTTTTTTTTTTTTTTTTTTTTGTGAAGGTTCCTGGACAATTGCCCAGTTTGCAGTGTTCTAAACCCATCCCTAACTAAAAGACACATACAAGGTGGCATTAGCACGGAGGTTAAAAAGCTTCGCACCTGGAGGTTCCACTGACTATACAAGTGTGTGTGTGTGGAAAGTCATTATACAAACAATTCAATGTTTGTGAAATCCACTTGTCCTTGTTCTAATGCCGCACTAAAGGGGGGATGTATTGGCCTGTTCATCAAGTAATGCTTTCAAGACAGTGTTACATCATACAGTGTGTCTGTATTGTGCCATAGTTTTTAATCATCCTCTCTATCTTGACAGTTTAATCCTGGTTATGTAGTTGATAATCCATTTCTCATGATCAGTAATATTATTAGGCTGTTCTCTTCATATGGTTTATTGGCTAAGATGTTGGTTTTTAGGAGTATGCCATCTTGTATTACTGTAGTAGGATAGAGACTCATTATTTTGAGTTCAAGCATTTTAAATCAATATATATAATCTCATACTAATGCTAGTTAGACGTTAGGCTAGCTCAGTCATTTCTAACTTTCATTAAGAATGATTTTTTTCCAGAGGAATTTATTGTTAACACTCCCACTACCCTGGCACAAAAGTATTGGATCACCAATGGAGCTGTTCATGCCAAGCATATAATTGTATTTGCACAGCTGTTTGTTGACGGTGTTAACAATGGTATTCATGGCATTCTAGTGCGCATCCGTGATGATAATTTAAAGGTGTGTATTGCTTGCCTATTTTTTCTGGGCTGATGCCTATCCTCCTTATGTAGTAATGATGATAATGATGAATTGCTGTGGTTTTCCAATTATGATTTAATAAAATGATATCAGATGCTGTGTAAGATATTCAAATCTATGCTCAAATTCATCTTCCCCAGGTTATGCCAAATGTTCGTGTTGAGGACATGGGATACAAAATGGGCTTGAATGGAGTAGACAATGCTAAGCTGATATTTGACAATGTGAGAGTACCTCGGGAAAATCTGCTCAATAAGTTTAGTGACGTTTCTGCACAAGGAGAGTTCTCATCTTCTGTCAAGAGGTATCAAATCTTGAACTTTCCTTATAAATTGGTTGGATTAGAGTAACTCGTCATCTCACTTTCCTGTCTTCACGTGCAGTATATAAGAGTTGAAATTAAAATTTTGTCCTCGCTGCAAGAATGCTTTGTCATTATTGCACTCAGTTTATTTGTTAGTGGAGATCTGCATTACCATTTCTTACATCCTGTACAATAAAGTTCATCTACTTTCCATGATCAACAATCGTGCTTTGGTTACAAATTATTTAATTTTCTTATCTTTTAACACCTTGCACCAATCCTGCATCCTTTAACTAGTATCTTCACCATTGCTCTGGCAATCTCGGCGTGTAGTCATAACTCGGTTAACTTTCTTCCATTCGTCTTTCAACCGACTTCCTTACCGCACTTAATGGTCTTCCATTGTTTACTTCTTATATTTTTAATTTTGACTTGCCTTTGCTGACAGAGACTTGAGTTTTGGTATTTATACTCCCAGGGTATACAAGGCCAGTGGGCCATACACAAAGCCTATGAGCCATACACAAGTCCTGTTTCTGTTTTGCATGGCCTGTGGGCACTGCATTCCTGATTGTATTGTACCCCTAGAATGTATTACACATCATTGTCATTATAGAGCCCTGCTATTATTGCATCTTAGTGTACTCATTGCATGCACTGATTTCTCAGTTAAGCATTATACTGTACATTCATCCATAACATATCCAATTAACCAGCTTAATTACTAATGTTGGAGAATACAGTAATAATCAACATTAATATGTTCATTTATTGCAGTGCACGTTCCCGGTTCCTCACAGTAGCAGATCAACTGCTCTCGGGTCGTATTTGCATTGCCAGCATGTCTATGGGTGTGGCTAAGGCCTCACTCACCATTGCCATACGTTATGCAGCATCTCGCCTCACTGTAGGTGAGTCGGGTGAACTTGGGTTTTTCTCTTGTTTGTATTAATGGATACTATTGTGAGAAGGTTACTGCAACACTTTTTTTCCCCAAAAAAATATAGCGATGATAAATATAAAGCCTCCTCACTTCTGTACATACAGTGCTTGTATGTTTATTAAAAATGGAAATACAGAACATGTGTAATACAGTATGTAAAGTTGCACTTTGAATATAAGAGGGAGCCCCATGCGACCAGCACAATTATTTTGAATTCGCAGGACTTAAACCAGCAAAGTGTGTGCATAACATTTAATAAAAAGACACAGGGAATAGGACTTAATATAACAGGGAGGGCATTTATCAACTCAATAGATTACCATACCTTCTCAAATAACAAAGAGAACACCAAGGCATTTATCTCAAAAGTGAGGTTGGTACCTCACAAATACACCACTTCTCTTGGTTGTCTGGCTCCCCTCTGTTCATGATGGAGGTGTGGGGATGCCACCCTCATAAAAATGTGCAGAAACCTACTTTACACACCATTGCCTCAGAATTATTGTGGCAAAGGGTTCTTCCCTCTCAGGTGCTACTGTCATCAAGTGGGGAGAGGGAGATATCAAGGGGAAAGTGCCAAGCCATGACGACTATATAGATAGCACTGGGAAGGAGGTCAGGATTAGGATTTGGGCTGGGACGGAGGGAAAGGAATGGTGCCCAACCACTTGGACGGTCGGGGATTGAACGCCAACCTGCATGAACCAAGACCGTCGCTCTACCGTCCAGCCCAAATGTTTGGGGGGACAGTAGCTCCTGAGAGGGAAGAACCCTCCAGTATCTTCCCAATGATCAACCAATGGAGGTTGTAGGGATGATACATGATGTAGGGACTAAAACCAATGGAGGTTTTACATGCACCCAGTTACTCATCCAGCCTTGTCCCCTGTGAGGAGTGGACTAAGGCCAGAAGTCTCCTTACTACTGTCTCTTCTCAGTAGGCACTGCTCTAAGAGCTATCTACTCCTGACCTACCCCCCACAAATGGTACTCCTACTAGAAAGGTCGCCAGTTTGGTCGGATCACCTTTAGCCACCAAATAATCTCTTGTCTTGGTGGTCAGCTTTCTCAGCATTGGGTTATATGGGTGTGTTCATATTCATCTCATTGCCCTAGGCAAGTGAAGAGTGGATGGCATAAAACACAATAAAATATGCAAACATTCAGTGAAATAAAAATACATTTGCACAAGGCCTGTAAGATGAATGAAGTTAAACTTTGGCAACACTCCTCATAAAAACTGAATTTGTATGGCAACACCGCTTGGCACTAATCTTAACATTACAAAAATAAAGCAAACGGTATTTTAACTAAAACGACAAAATTAGATTAATAGCAATAAAAGCTAGACTTTCCATACCAGTCATTACACTATAACTGGCTCTTCAGTTAGCTTTAACTTTTAAACTATTTAGCTATTTAAAAGTCTTACTTCCAGGTGAGCATGAATAAAATGACTACTGTAAACCTATAAGGATCAATCACATATGGTGCTTGGAGTTCAGGAGCAAATCACAGAGAAGTGATTGGAGCAGTGTAAGAGTTAAAAGACTTTAGCTTTAATATTTTACCTGGGTTACTGATTTAACCAAAAAATGAAATGCCAAATAGTATCTTGTGTAAGGAATTTATTTTAGACATTATATTTTTGCAATTATCTGCATCCTCAAAAAATGAGTCATTGTTTCGTGTTTTCTGCCTTGCTCATGTTAATACTGTATACAACACTTGAGTATAACATGCACTCAACTTTACAACAATATATTTAATGAGAAAATATGTAAGAGCCATGATGAGGATTCAAACCTATGTGCTGGGTATTCCCAAGCACATGCACCAGACAACCAGGCCACAACATGGTAAAAGGATTGCAACCTGGGGTTCTACTGAACTCATGAGGGTTCCTGAGGCTTCCACTGAATCCAAAGCAGGGTTTCACACATTCTCCCCTCATGCTCTCCGGCTCTGTCGTCTAGGAATGTTCTACTTCTGATGCTCCTCTTTCAGTACACAGAAATTACACTAATGGATTTATCGGTGAGAAAGTTTGGAGGAGCCGTGATGAGGATTTGAATCATTGTACTAGGAATTCCCAGTCACACGTCCCAGACAACTAGGCCACATTGTCCATGCTGGAATATCCAGCACATAGGTTTGAATCCTCATCATGGATCCTACGTGGACCTACTAGGATCACACGAGGATTCATAGGATCCTAGTGTGATTTATCTGTGTAATGAAAGAGGAGCGTCAGAGGTAGAACTTTCACTTTTTCTCCCCAGAGTGCATGGGGGAGAAAGTTTAAAACCCTGATTCAGATGAGGGAATCCCTCATGGGTTCAGTCGAACCCAGGTTGCAATCCTTTTACCATGTCATGGCCTAGTCGTCTGGGATGTGTGCCTGGTAATGCCCAGTGCATAGGTTCGAATCCTCATCACGGCTCCTACTGATTTTCTCATTGATACATCACGTTAGTATGATTTTTCTCTGTGAATATATTTAATTTTCGGTGTTAACTTCATTAACTATTTACTCGGAGGATAATTCTTCAGGTCCTATATAGTCGTATTGGTTTAGAGCTTTCACCTGATAATTACCTTGTATTTACCTTCAGGTCCTAAAGGAAAATCTGACATGTCGATTCTACAGTACCAGCTGCAGCAGCGAGCCCTCTTGCCTCTTTTGGCCAGGACATACGCTATTAATTTTGGCCTAGATTATGTCAAGGTGGGTCAACCCATGCCAACTTGAAATACACTGTATTTTCAACTGTGTTTCCTAGGACACAAACTGGTCCTTGCAGTATCTTTCTCTAGGCATTATGGCCCCTCTCCCCCATTCATTATTAATCGTAGCCCAATTTTTCACTTGTATGGGGTGAGGAGTCAACCCAGGAGGGAAGGGGGAAGGTGAATTATATAGTAAAAGTAAATTATAAATATTTAAAAAGGTAACTCATCTATTTATTACATCATTCATTCTACAATATACAGTACAGGTAGAGCAAAGATGAATAAAATGCTTTGTGAAATCTACCAGCAACCCTAATTTGGTATCTTCTCTATAATGTACATCACATAACCACATCACAAGTTTATCTTATAAACCTTATCTACAAACAACCTTATCTCATAAAACTAGTTTCAGAAAGGTAGTTTGTTTCTCTGACATTATTCAACTTTTAATTTATTGTAATCAGTAATCTTTATTTTTAATAAAATTAAAGACCTGCATAGATTCAAGGTTTAAATGTTGATGCCAGAGATAAGCTTTGTTAATTCTTCATAAACTATTTTAAATACAGAAAAAAAGGTCTTTAATGCTGGCATCATGCCAATATTTATATAAGAGGAATACGTGTAGGAGGAAAGCATTCAGTCTTAAAAGTACCAGATGTACCTACAAACATTGCCCAACTGTAAATACCAAAACATTATTGATTGTTTTATTATTATTATTATTATTATTATTATTATTATTATTATTATTATACATGCCATTATTAAATTGTACAAGCCAACCACAAAACACCTTGAAAGATGTTCAAATTGCAACTTGGTATTTCAGACGCTTCATCTGTTTTTCTTTTAAAACAGCAACGATGGGCCTTCCAGGCTGCAGATGGCTCGGAGCACCCCGAAGTTGTGACGGCATGCTGTGTCATTAAACCCCTAGCATCGTGGAACATGGAGGAAGTCGTTACAGTGAGTCGTGAACGGTGTGGTGGTCAGGGCTTCCTCTCCTGTAATAGGTGCGTGATAGTTGTGGATACAATGTGTGTCGTAAGTATTTTCTTTCAATGTTTTACCTTAAAGGAATAGTAAGTTTGTAAAGAAAGATAACCTGATTTCATAATTTAAGTCTTCTGGCAGTCATTAATATTTAAATTATGAAAATCCTTAGGAATTGAAGCCTTTTGATTAAAAAAAACTGAGTTTGTATCTAGCCTCCTAATACTAATTATAACTTTTTGTCAATTTCTAACTTAGTGTCCAGGCTAGACTTATAATAAAAGTTTATTTTAAAAGCCTAAAACAAACAGAACAAACCTCTTGTCTAACTTGCTTACAGTTTGGTGGTTCATTATTAAGAATACTGTACAAGAAATACGGTGTACTTGGTTCTAGATTTGGCACCTTCTTTGGTCTGGCTCATGCAGCGATGACAGCCGAGGGTGACAATTGTGTCCTCATGCAGAAAGTGGCAAAAGAAAGGCTGGAAAGCTTCAAACCCTTAGTGACAAATACTGATCTCCCAACAGATCCTACTAACGTTGAATTTTTACATGATCTTCTGAATCGAAGAGAAAATCTTTTCTTTAAGGTACAGTACTGTATTGTATTAGAATTTGTCTACTGTTGCAATACATGAAAATACAATTGTTTTGAAATTATTTCAAAATTTGTGTGTTCTGATGATTCCACAGTTGGTAATATACCTTCTGAGAGATTATTGTATTTTTATGTATCCTGTGTAATGTTTTGCTTCCTGAACAGGAGGACAATTTTGTAAGAACTTTGTTTAAAAAACAAAAAATTATCTACATTTACCATTTTTAATATATTTAATTATTGGTTATGTTAACATTGCTTTTAAGTTTATATTTTTAGCATTTACTGTAATCTTTTCATTTAATTTATTCCAACTCTCCTTTTGTAATATTAAAAGAAAAATTATGTATTTGGCATTTTATTACCATAACATTTCTGAAAACTAGTATAGTGTGTGCAGCTCTCTCTATGTGAACTTGTTTTCTTTTTCCAGAATTTGGGGGAAAAGTTGAAAGCTGTAGGGAGAGCCGGACTGTTTGATACGTGGATGCTTAATGAATCCGACTTGGTTCAAGGTGCTGCCAGGGCCTTTGGAGAAAGGATGATCTCTGACCAAGTAAATTAACTGTATTATATATATATATGTACTCTGTTAAATGAGTTAATTAGTTTGAAACATGTCAATCAAGTATGTTATTAAATACTTGTAGTATGGAATCTTATCGGTACCCTGTGACGTACTACAGGTAGAACTGTAGCTCATTATTAGAAATCTGTTAGGGATACCCTTTTTTTTTTTTTCCCCTTATCCTACAGGTTTCTATTCAAACTTTTCTTTTTTTCATCACTGTAATTTTAACTTTGTCCACATCCACTTTTACTGGAAATCCCACACACAGAGTTATAAACTTGTCTACCGGTCAGCCGAGCGGACAGCACGCTGGACTTGTGATCCTGTGGTCCTGGGTTTGATCGTAGGCGCCGGCGAGAAACAATGGGCAGAGTTTCTTTCACCCTATGCCCCTGTTACCTAGCAGTAAAATAGGTACCTGGGTGTTAGTCAGCTGTCACGGGCTGCTTCCTGGGGGTGGTGGCCTGGTCGAGGATCGGGCCGCGGGGACACTAAAAAGCCCCGAAATCATCTCAAGATAACAATCATTATTCATCTGCTAAAAGAGCTGTTTAATCTACACACATCTGATTTACCATGCTTCAATAATGATGCAATACTGTAGTCATAGTAGTCTTCTGTCCTGTATTAGGTTTTATTATCTGAATGGCATTATAATTTTATGAAGACTTTGTACATGGAAAATCTAATTTTTACATTCCCTTTAATGAAGCATATTAGTGACTTTTCGTATGATACATCATTACTTGTGAGGTGAAGGCACATCATGTGGCAACAGTAGTATGAACACATCAGCTAAGGCTAACACGAACTTCTTTACATTGGATACGAAGAGTGAATTATTAGGGAAACATGGTTATGGCTAGGGAGGCAAGCGGCTGGTAGAGGAGTATTGTGTTGGTACTGCTGATGACACAATAGGCAAAAGACATAGAGCATATAATTTGGGAACTAAATGAGTAGCAGTGGTTCAGAGAAGTGACATGAAAGAATTGAAGCTTTCCAAGCACAATTATTAGGATGATGATGGTTATCGAGCAATGTAGCCTAGAGCTTGCTGCTGCTGCTGCTGGTGGTGCACTCAGGCTGCAGCTGAGTTAATGGCATTAACTGGCATTGAGGACAACAAGGCAAGTTCAAGGTGACTGCAGAAGTTCAACAGACATAGTACTATAACTGCCTTATGCTCCCTGGATTATCAAGACCAGTCTGCTACGAAAAGGCAAGTGGGGTGGGGGGGAACTTGATGCATTATATTTTATATATGTACATAAAATTATTATATATTTGTGTAACTAAATACGCTGAAGTGCACATGCTCTATTATTATTTTCTATAAGATAAGTCTAGAAAATTGACCTATAGTAAAAAAAAAATGCAATCTTGAAAATTCTGACTTCACACAAAACTGGATTGGTGGTATGGATAGATATGGTCCAGATTTTAGAGGTGCCACTGTATATTCAGGAGGGAACTGATGGAACCAAACGACAGTGAAAAGTATCCTGGACTTTAGGTTTGAACATTTCTTTAACTTTATAATTTTTTTCTCTATTTATTGTTTTGTGAAGATTACATTATATTTATTGTATACTGGTACAGTACTTTAAATTGTGGCTGAATTATTATATCAATAGTGTTATCATTACAGTACCATAGGTGTAAATTCCAAATAGTAATCTATATAATTGACTTAATAATGTGGAATGTTATTTTGTGAACTATGTAAGCAATTAGATTTCAGGGTTGTAATGATTACAATTAATGAATATACAGTCTCCTTATATCCATGGAAAGCACACCCTTGTATCTATTGATGATTCCGAGGATGAAAGTTCCCGTGGCCTGGTCTCAGACTAGGCTTCCTGGTTGGTGGTCTGCGCAACCAGTATGGAGACTAATATTGGAAGCAAGTGTTCAGTGTGTGTGTGTGTATACACATCTCTTTACTCTTGTACAGTTTGCAACTAAATTTTAGTTTTCTATTTTTAAAATATGTAATTTATCAACAGTTTGCTGATGTTCTTAAGAAGTGTGAGAGCAGTCTGAAGACTCCTTTGACTAAATTGTATCACCTGTACCTGTTGGACATTGTGGAGAAGAACATGGCTAGCTTCATCACCACAGGTCTTATAACCCCAGAGATAGCTGCACAGGTAGGCACTGCTCCTGTATACACCATAGGTCTCATATTCCCAGAGACAGCTGCACAGGCAGGCACCTCTCGTCTGCATTCCACTCACAAACCCGCCTAATCATAACCTACAAGGTCTGAACCTATGCAGTCAATATATTATGTTGAGAACTTTTAACACATCATGCAAAAAGTTGGTTTGCATGGTGATGTGAGCTGTTGGTATTAAATGCGTCAAGTTTTCTTCCTCACTCTGTTGTTAAATTCTGTTTTAATGTATTGTAGAGGTCTGATAGCAATTAGATTGCTGTTATGGGGTGAAATCTCCTTCCAAGGTAAATTCACTGCCACAGCTGGGTCATGGGCCATGTCAGGTCCAACTGTAAAGTTCCTGTCTAGCAGCTGATCTATGGGCAATGTGTGTGTATATGCATATAAGGCCTAAATATGGTTGTATATATGCAAGGTCCCTCATTGGGTGTATGCATGTTTGGGTTGTGTATACATGTTGTCTATGATAAAGTGTAGGGTGGGTTTTCCTGGGTTAGGTGCCAGTCTTTTTGCCCTGTGTTGTGGTTTTTCTTGCCTTGCACTGTGTTTAGGGGGTTTTGGGGGGTTATCCTTGCTGCTTTTGGGCACCTTACTTGGGTCTTCAGGTATTTTGCTCAGGGTCGGGTTGGCTGTGTTCTCTTTGCTTGGTGAGAGTGACATTCTTTGCTTTCTGGGTAGCATGCCCCACATGTTCGAGTTGTCTCAGCACATTGGGTGGTGGTGCAGCTCATTTGGCTGGAAGTCGCACTCTGAGTTGTGACCAATTTGGTTATCATGGGTTATCGTTGGTTATCCTCGATTTTCTGGCCTAGAAACCATTTCTTTTGGTTATTGGCCCTGGGTTTCTGGTTTCCATTCCTGGTTCCTTGCATAATGGGTTTCTGGCATCCTCCTTGGGTTTTAGTGGCTCTGGCTTTTTGTGCCCTTTGTTGGCCAATTTTTTTTATTTATTTTATAACTTTTTTTTTTAAACTTTCAAGCTTTCTCTTTCCCCAGGTGTTGGGGCTGGCAGTTTCTGCCTCAGACTTTGGACTTTATTTTTTTGGCCAACCAGCAGTTTGTCCTTGCTGTCTTGCCATGTATTTGCAGCTTTGTTGGTTTTCTCTGATGTTTCCCACAGCTCTCTTCAGGGCTTCAGGCTCTATGATGTCCTTATGGGTGTTCACCTCTTGGGTGTCTATTGGCCTCCCTACACTTAGTGTTGCACTTTGGCATTTGGTATGTGCTGGTTGCTGCTCTACCCTGGATCCCGCTCCTCTGACATCATCTCCCATGGGGGTCTAACCATGGAAGAAGACTGTTTTCTGACTCTCACAAGCTGACCACCTCTACCAAGGTTATGTTACAAGTTCAGAGAGCTACTTAAGAAATCCATCCTATTCCTTTCTACCCACTATCTCATGAGTGAGGTGGCAGACTGGTTGCGACCCCAGGTGACCTGAGCAGCCATCTGGTCATGGTTGGGTGCAACCTTGGTTACAATACATACACCATAGCAATGCTTATTTGCCTTGTTTATCTTAAGGATGCCTAAATTTCCTTCAAGAAGTAACTTATTTTACTGCACCTGTACTGTATTTTCTGGTGGATTTTGCCTTGAGTGTTTTACAGATCTCTGATCCCCAAGCATCCTTCACTTTGTAGAGTGAGCCAGATTCTGGTCCTGGCTTCTGGTAGGCAAGAATGGGTCCTGGAGCCCTGGGGCAGTTAGCCGAGACTTGGCGGGTATCAGTGCTTAAGATTGGGAAGCAACTGGGGGCTCGACGAAAAATGGAAACTTAATTACTCAATGCCTAATTATTTTATTTATTTATTTTTCCCCAAAACATTTTTACAAGAATGATGACTTGTATATGTAAGTTGAAATTGTTGATTTTAAAATGAATAAGTGTTATTAGGCTTTAGAAGTTAATCTTAACCTGAAATGCATAGAAAAAAGTGATTTTTGCTTTCTTACAGGTGGTAATTGTGTCCCGTGCTGTTTGCAAAGATCTTGGTCCAGATGCCCTTGCTCTATGTGAAGCCTTTGCCATCACTGACTCAATGCTGTCTGCACCCATTGCCCTTGACTGGGTAGAGTATAATGTCGGAGACAACCAGGGGGAGCTTTAGAGTTTAATATGTTAATGCTTAGATCTCTTGGTAATATTTAATGAACTACTTAATAAATATACTTAAATGCAATTAAAGTTAGTACCTATAGCATTCATAATCTTGATAGATTGAAGTTTACTTCTATGATTTAAAATTTATGTAAATCATGTTTGTTTTATTTTTGGAAAATAATAATTACCAGCTTTTTGATGGGTATAAATTTATGTTCATTCAAAATTAAGACCTAAACAGTAGAGTGGACAAGCTGGGGATAAAAGTAAGGTGAATACAAGTTCAAGTATGTTTATTGAGACAAGAAAGAAATACATCTCAAAGGGATAGAGTAGCTTAGGCTATTTCTACCCCCCTTAAGGTGAATACAAGCTGGGGATAAAAGTAAGGTGAATATATAATAGATTATTAAGTGAAGAGTCGTCATGAAGGTCTTGGATCTGTGAGGAGTACACTAGGTTTCAGGACCAACTGCCTAATTTTGCAATGGTAAATATTTGGACATAATATTGTACAGAATGCATGTGTTAACGTTGTGCATGTTTTAAATATACAAAATAAATAAATATATATATATGTATGTATGTGTGTGTATATATATATATATATATATATATATATATATATATATATATATATATATATATATATATATATATATATATATATATATATATATATATATATATATAATGTCGTACCTAGTAGCCAGAACTCACTTCTCAGCCTACTATGCTAGGCCCGATTTGCCTAATAAGCCAAGTTTTCATGAATTAATGTTTTTTCGTCAACCTAACCTACCTAACCTAACTTTTTTTGGCTACCTAACCTAACCTAACCTATAAAGATAGGTTAGGTAGGGTTGGTTAGGTTCGGTCATATATCTACGTTAATTTTAACTCCAATAAAAAAAAATTGACTTCATACATAGTGAAAAGGGTAGCTTTATCATTTCATAAGAAAAAAATTATAGAAAATATATTAATTCAGGAAAACTTGGCTTATTAGGCAAATCGGGCCTTGCATAGTAGGCTGAGAAGTGAGTTCTGGCTACTAGGTACGACATATATATTATATATATATATTATATATATATATATATATATATATATATATATATATATATATATATATATATATATATATATATATATATATATATATATATATATATATATATATATATATATATCGTACGTACGTACGTTCGTACGTACACATACATCAAATGTTAACAGAGCACACTGTATATGAGTTTTATTAGGGATTCAGACATTTATTATAGATATGGAAATTTTCCTGTGGAATAAATGTTCATTACAATTAAATTATATTTTTCTTTGTATTAATTGTAAGATGGTTTCTCAGTCATAAATATATACACAATCATGGTAAAGCTTGTCCTAAACCCACGTTCATTTAATGTTATCTTTCTTGTTATCTCAACCGGTGGGTTTGTAGGCTTCACAGAGCTCATGTAACATCAAACCAGAAAGTGCAGTTAAATGTCTTCTGTCATATGGGTTTTATGTATGTTTAATAGATAAGGGGCTTCTTATGTATCATAGCCACAAACTAACCCATCTTGGATGTTATTAAAGGATGGCATTAAGTCAGTTTTGAATGAAGTGTCAGTATATAATGTAAGCCTCGAGTCCCTTTTTTGAGGGAGTGAGAATGGATGAATCAATGGAACATTATTTTGTAGATAATCAATCTTTCCCAATTAGCCTGCTCACATTTTTGGAAATGGTAACCAACTACTCAAAGGTACCACATGAGACTGACGCAGAAATTGTTAGCACATGGAATAAATGGCAAAATACTAGAATGGAAAAACAATAATAAAACAAAGATAGCAAAAGGTCATCTTAAATTAAATTTTACTGGAAAAATGTTAAATGGAGTACTGCAAGGCTCCATCTTTGGGCAACTGTTGTGTGCAGTACATCAACGATATAGATGAAAATATTACAGACCTGAAAATATTAGACCAAGTCATCAAATTGTCAGTTGGCCAAAATTTATGCCAAAATTAGAAGTAAATATGATATTGGGGCCTTATCATTAAGTCCTCATTTATTAGCCTTAATAGTCCAATTGAGCTGTTAGCAATCTATTGGACATATAATCCACAAATGGCCAAAAAGACTGGTAAAAAGCTTTTCCCTACTAAAAATGCAAACCATGCATGTAGAGCATAAAACACAACTTGTATACAGTATATATAATATATGCAGCATTTTGATAAGAGTTTAGGAGTTATAATGCACCAGTTGTTAAAAGTTATTCAATAACTGACTGGCTTCATTAAGAATACAGAATATTCTATTGAGTATTCTCTTTTAAGATAATACAATTTTCTAATAGTTCAGTATATAGCTTATAAAAATTAGTTTTCTAAGTATTTTGCCATACTATAACAGCAGAATGAATTTTGTAAGAATTTATATACAAGTACTGTACTGTATGTAGTGCCAATGTACATCCTCAACAAACTATCAATGCAATTTACTTATAAGATTACAAATTTACTGTAGCATATGAAAGTTTGCTAATAAATCTAATTTTGTATAAATACAGTATTTACATTATTCTTCCTGATTTTTGTCTTTCCGAGTGGAGAGAAGGGAGGTTAGAATACCCCTGTATTTCAGTGAAACAATATTTGAAGATCGTTTTGTATGTCAGAAGAAGTTGGAAACAGTAACAAGTCACTAAGCAGATCCTTATGTGATTCTGAGAGTTTGTTTATATCTTGCTAATGAACAGGGGTCCTGTAATATCCAGATCCCACCACATAGTCTTGCAAAATGCTGAATTATGTATTGGCTGTTACTGTTAATTTTTCTGTTAACTTTTCATTAATCTCCCACTAATTAATTTTACCCACACTTCATCACCCACTGATTTCATTCATGTTATGTTTGAAATGCTATGCATTATAGTGAATTTACTAAATATGCACCTTTAGGGAGTGAATTTCAAAATGCTGAACAATTTAGAGGATATTAATCCAGACCACTTCTTTAAAACGTCTAATATAGCACATAAAAGGTAAGGAAAGGGAACTATCAAGGGTAAAGCGCCAACCCATTACGACTATATAGCACTGGGAAGGAGTCAGGATAAGGATTTGGGATGGGACGGGGGGAAAGAATGGTGTTCAACCACTAGGATGGTCGGGGATTGAACGCTGATCAGCATGAAGCAAGACCGTTGCTCTATCATCCATCCCAAGCGGTTGAGCGCCATAAAAGGAGCAACATCCAGCTAAACAAGCCTCGGTGTAAGACAAAAAAGAAATGCTTTTTCACCAATAAGGTTATAAAACCCATGGACCTGCCAACCTGCTGAAGCTGCAAATGTTCAGACATTACTGCAGTTCAAAATCTAGTTGGAAACAATTCTCAGGAAAAACGGAGGGGGTGGGGACCTTTGACAAAACGCTATCTTCCTGTCTCCATTGAGGCCACTAGAGAGATGGTGGCTCTCTGGTAAATTTAGGGTAAAGGTGTTGTATAATTAATTAATGTTTCTCATTGTTGGAGACAGAAAGTCTTTAAATGTAATTTATGTAAAAAAAAATTAAAATGAACGACTGACTTTCCCACGATGCAGCCCACACCAATTGTCTAACTCCTGAGTAAGTGAACTGACAGTCCTTGTTTCTGTACTTGAGAAGTACAGCAGATTATGGTGAACACTGCACAAAAAACAGATATTACACTATATATATTAGGAAAATAAGGTAGCAAGAAGTAAGCGTGGGTCTCTTCCTTAACCCTTCCATGTGTGAAGTAGTCTCTTCCAACCCAGACATCATAGCTAGCATACGATCCGTCTAGCCCGGAGCCCATGTCATTAGGGCCAAGAACAGTACCCTCCTTGGAGCCCCCCCTCGGGTCTAACACCATTGAGGAGATCCTTGAAAATAAAATCACAAACTTCAGGATTATAGAAGACAATAGGTGACATCGATGCCCATGATGCTTTACATCTCACTAAATGCCTATCCATTCCGAGGCTAACCTACTCTCTGAGGTGCGCCCCATCTTACGACAGCCAAAAGGTTGAAGAGTATGACCTCTTACTGAAGACCATGCTAGAAAAAGTTGTTAACCTCTCCCTCAACAAATGCCAGTGGAAACATGCCACTCTTCCTGTCAGACTCTGTGGCTTGGGTGTCTGCACCGCCACCCAAATTGCTGTCCCAGCCTTCCTGTCTTCCTCCTCAGCATCAGATGACCTGGTTAAGGAAATTCTACCTGACACCCTGAGTGACGTAGCGGGTATACAGGACCCTCACTACACGAAATGCAACACGAAATGGGGTGCCATGGTAGACCCAGCACTCAGACCAACCATGCCGAAAGCAAAGAAACAATCCAGCTGGGACAGCCCCGTTGTAGACAAAGAAGCCACAGCTTTGCAGGAGGCAGCAACAACTCCCAGTGATCGTGCACGCCTCACAGCTGTGCAGGCTCCCCATGCAGGGGATCTACAAGGACCTCTTGGCAGTCCCTATGTCTGCGACAGGCACACGTCTTGATCCGCAGGAGCTCCGTATTGCAGTTGCTCTCCGCCTTGCTGCCCCTATCCACACTATTCATAGGTGTATTTGCGGCGAGGCAGATGCTGACGAATATGGATTGCATGGCCTGCACTGTGGAAAATCTGGTGGTTGGCACACTAGACACGACGAAGTCAATGACATCATTAAAAGAAGCCTTGCCTCTGCCCAGTGTCCAGCGAAGAGAGAGCCCCGCAACCTATTGAACCATGACTGTTAGCTTTGCCGGCCGACCAGACTGAATCACACTGCTCGCTTGGAAGGGTGGCAGACAGTTGGCATGGGACTATACTTGCGTATCCACCCTGGCAACCACATACATCAACCTCTCTGCCGGTCAAGCAGGAGTCGCGGCGACACACAGAGAAAGATACAAATCAGCCAAGTACAGGGAATTAGATCATCGGTACAACTTCGTTCCAATAGGGTCTGCAAGCCTGCGCAAGGCGCAGGGCAACACCAATACTTAGGGCCCCATAGTCCAGGCGGGTGCCCAAGACGGGATTAGGGACTGCCAACAGGAAGTCCCCGTCATGGGGGGCTTGCACAGCTAGGAGACATGCTCTGTCCTTCTCAGAAGCTGCCTCCAGCAATGCTTTGGCGATGTTCTCCACTATGAGGCTATCCCATAATTGGTCGAGGGTGTGAATTGGCAAGAGTGTCCCACTGACCAGCTCCTTCCTCAAATTTGGGATCATGAATCCCAATTAGTTCCTTAGGTATTCTGGTAGTATTTCATATATATGTATGTATGTGTGTATTCACCAGGTTGTGCTTGTAGGAGTAGAGCTCTGCTCTTTCGGCCCATCTCTCAACTGTCAATCAACTGTTTCTACTACTACTACTACTATTTTGTTTCCACACCACACACACACACACACCCCAGAAAGCAGCCCGTGACAACTGACTAACTCCCAGGTACCTATTTACTGCTAGGTAACAGGGGCATAACATAGGGTGAAAGAAACTCTACCCATTGTTTCTC